GGGGAGAGGGGGGGCAAGGGTGGAGCCTGTAATCAAGTCCGTGCCCTTGACTTGAATTAAACCTGGGACCTTTGGTTCCCAGGCCGATGCCCTATCCACTGAACCAAACCAGCTAGGGCCATGGGTGTATTTAAATGAACTTTAGCAAAGATTGATTTTTCCTACCAGACCCTCACCACTCAATTATCTCAAAAGCTTATATTTTCCTTTCCCTTGTTGGCTTCCGTCACTGGACTCAGTGCATATGTACAGAGTCTCTGAGTACAGACAGTCTGAAAAGAGCAAAATAAAAATAGCCAATTGGTCGATAACTGAATGGGAAAGTGCCAAGGGGATAGCACTGGTCCTAAAGCCAGCTGGGAAGAGGTGAGGTGGGGTGGGCGGTAGCCTCCCTGAGAGCTGGGCTTGCTCTGAGGTAAGCTCATGCAGGTGGCTCCTCCTGGCCGGGCAGATGGAAGGAACAGTGGGTCAAGGGTCCTGCTTTCTGCTTTTATTCTGTGTTGGCCAGTGCCCATCCTGAGGCTCCTGTTCCTGGAAACCTGACACTCACTGTGGAATATAAAGTGAGGCCCGAGGTACATGGGACTGCTCCACGCTGGCCAATATGCACGCCCTCTGCCATCAATTAATTGAATCAGGACTCCACTATCAGGACACCTCTCATAGCCTGTAGGACTGTTTAGGCTCTTTCAGGCTGGTATTGATTGTTGCTTTTTTTGGCAAATAGTATACTAAAACGAAAATAAACACAAGGGTTTGCGCAGGCACAGAGGAAAGTGGATTCTGTGTCTCCACGGCTGCGAAAAAAACTTGCTCTGAGACCCAGTGGGCAAATTGGCAACCGATGCTCCCTTCAGTGCAGTTATTATAAGGATGTTTGTCTGTCTTCTTCTCCCTAATAGGGCAGAAGCCACTCTCTTCGCCATACTCCTTGAGTGCTTAATTCATAGTTGCCGGCTGCCTCCAAGGCAGGGCTCTCCAGGAAGCAGTCATTTAGGGCTAGGCTAGGCCTGGTGCTCGCCTCTCAGCTCCAGTTTTCACATGCAGCTGCCCCAGCTGGCCAGTTACCACCCCAATTTGGGGTTCTGGGTTTGGTCCCGGAAGGACAGGCAGCAACAACAACAGCTACACAGCCAAAGAACCTTCACGGAGATGTCCTGCAGTTCTGGGTGCCCAGGCCAGGCGTTCCCACCCTTAGTGGAGTGGTTCTGCATGATCATTTAACCCTCATTTCACAGATGTAGAAACTGGGGCTGAGAGACATCAGCTTGCTTTACCAAAGTTACACAAGTCTGCTGTTCAGATGATGGTTTGGAAGGACCCAACGTTGTGCCTAGACTCAAGCTCTTCATGTGTAATACAGAAATAATGACATCACCCCTTAGGTAAGAATGTTATATATATGATTACTTGTTTATTGCTTGTTTTCTACTCTAACTGTAAACTCCAGTGGGCAGGGACTTTGGCTTATTCATGCTATGTTGTCAGAGCCTAGAACAGGGGTGGGCAACCCCTGGCACGCGTGCCAAACATGGCACGCCAGTAACTTTCGCTAGCAAAGCCCTGGAGGGCGAGGCCAGAACAGTTTGCAAGAGTCTGACTGCGGGGCCCTGGTCTTGACTTCTCCAGGCTTAA